TGAACCCTTGACTTTTTTAGAGGCATGGAAGCCTTGGATGCGTTATACAGAATCGAGACAAAATTTTCTAGTCGAGAGTTTAATGCATGCTTATCCGTACAGCACTCAATAAACTGCGAAAACTCATTAATCGACTGCTTACATGTATTGTAAAAAATATTCCAGTTAGCTTTCTTTACACTGAAGACAATTTTGCTGTTTTTTCTGTCATAGAGAGTGTTATTAGAAGCTACAGAGAGTTCAAACTCAATCGCACAGTGATCAGAAAAGGATTCATAATCTGGTTGATACCAACACAAAATATCTGCAAGAAGATCAGATCCCACAACCGTAATGTCAATATAGCTTGAACCTTGAGTACTACAGAAAGTAGGACCACAGTCTTCATTTAGAACGAACGAACAAATTATTCATACTTAAAAATTCACAAAGTTTAACCCCTCGAGAATCTGAAACTGGACTATGCCAAATCTATCTGAAACTGGACAATGGACTATCTATTAACAATTGTTGACCATTTTTCAAAATGGGTAGAAATAGTCCCTCTTAAACGAGCTTCAGCTAAAATAGTCGCAGATTCGTTCTTAAATAAATATATTTTAAAATACGGGGCCCCATTAAAAGTAATATCAGATAACGGAAAACAGTTTGTTAGCAGTATATTTAAAAATTTGTGCACAGGACTTAGCATACGCCATCTAAAAATGTTACCATATAGACCGCAATCGAATATAGTGGAACGCGTAAACAAGAATATTGTAAAAATTATCAGGGGATATGTGAAAAATTTTCATGACCGCTGGGACAGCTGTGTCAATGAGTTAAATTTTGCCTTGAGAACGCAAAGCATGATACTACGCAGAAGAGCCCCGCGGAGTTATTTTAGGAAGAAAAATCCTAACGCCTTTGGATAAGTTGTTCTTTGTACAACAGAGACAAGAAGAATTCAAGTTAAAAGACATACAGAGAATTATCGACGAAGCAATTCAAAGCTCTGATATAGCAAGACAAAAGCAAAAGATCTACTGTGATAGAAATAGAAGGGAAATGGAATATAAAGTGGGACAGAAAGTTCTTAAGTTGAAATACTCGTTATCATCAGCACCCGAAAACAGAGTTGCGAAGTTTGAGCCCAGGTTTGAAGGGCCGTACATGGTCGAAAGAATAAAGGCCCGTCTACACGTACCGATTTTATCGGCCGACTTTCTCGCAGAGGAACAATTTTCAGGATGTGCGCATGCGCTAAAAATCTGTCATGTTCTCTGCGACGATTTCAGAGCTAGTGTTCACCGCTCACTAGCCGACGATAAAATCGGCGACTCTAGCCAATTAGATTGCTTCCAGAGATCACGTGCTTTTCTCTCTCATTTTGGAAACATGGCGCCTTTTCGTTGGAGCGAAAATCAAATTTTTGAATTGATTGATTTTTATAGAGACCATGCTGTGTGTTGTGGGACACAAATAACATAAATTATAAAAATAAAAAGTTAAAGGATTCCCTTATTTTGGTAAGTTATCTTCCCGTTACTTTATCATCAAATATTTTTTTATTCGTGATGAAAATTATTTTATGTTGGTTAAACAAATTACAGCTCAATTTAATACAATATTGCTCAATTTTATTAGCTGATTAACTGATATAGCAATATGATTACAGTTTTCAGAACTGTATTAGTTATTAAACTATACCGATAGTATTTTTTAATATTCAGTATGATATGCTATTTTAAGATTTTGCATATTTATATTTCTTATTTGAAATTTTTGTATTGAAATTACACTATTCCTTTCTACTATAGTAATCTTTATTCTGTATTAGTACTTTTTACTCATATTGTTGCGGTTTTCATAACATTATTGTCTATTTATTTAATAGTAAAGGTTATCATTTAAAGCACAGTAGTTATTTACTTTTTCTGAAGCATGGTTATTTTAACATTTCAGGACTTAAGCACACAAATATGCGTTCCAGAAAATGAAATTTAAAAAAAAAAAATGGAGTAACCTGCGTACTCAATTTACAAAGGAGAAACATAAAGAGAAAAAAAATTATACATCTGGTGCAAGCACTGCCATGCAGTACAAATCGGCATGGCAGTTTTACACATCGTTACAATTTTTAAGTGATGTCGTGTCCTTAAGGAATACTGTGACTTCTTTGGTAAGTGATTACTTTTTAAATTTATATAATTTGGCTTATAAAGTAAATAATTTCCCTTTACTATTTGAAAATTTATAGAATTGTTTTTAATATAGGCAAAACTTTAACAGTTTTTGTGATAAATAAAATAATATTGTTATACATACTTAGCTGTGTAAATTATATTAGCCAAATCTTCAAGCTCATGCAGCAGATGGGTCATCTGCAAAAGTTCACACTCACAGCAATTTCTATATAACTTCAGTACAAAAGTATTATTTTATTTATCCTTTTACAACTATGTGTGCTATTTAATTTCTTAAATGAAATCTTTATATTTAAAGACTATTCTTAAGCTCATTTACTTAAAAATAATCCCATTTCCCATTAAAGTATAGGTGCAATACCCATTAAAGTATAGGTAAAAGTGGATAGGACCAGGGCTTAATTTCTAAAATCAGAAGTTATATTTTGAATTTATATGAAGACCTAATCTTTTTCTTAACTTAATTTCCAATGAATGATATTCTATTGATAATTTCCAAAATAGCTGAGCAGTAAAACTGCTAAATAACTGGTAATTTGACCAGTGTTCGAATGCCAGCAAATAAGCTGACTGTAAGGTTGGTTTTTGTTTTTTCCTATGCAGAACATGGATACGAGCCATTTTTCCCTAAAAATTCTTCTATGAAGCATCCCTCTCTATAGGCAGATAGTCCTTGAATTGCGTTGTCTTAATCAATTAGTCTAACATCCAGAAAAGCATATGTAATTTATTTTGAAATGAGAGTTAAGGTACTTAAATTTCTCTTCGTAAGTCTATTTTGGTACTCATGTATTAACACAACCACCTTGTCACATATTTGGTGGTCTTTATAAATGTAAAGGTAAAAATTACTTACTGGTACAAGTTAGTGGTTTTTTATGACTTTTTTTTTAAAAAAAACCATTCCCAAATATCTGACAGTAAGTCAGCAAAGTATTATCGACCTACCGAAAAAGCCGAAACATGAATTTTAATTATTAAGTAAAAATTATATGATACATTAAAAAATAGGTTCTTACATGTTATCACAAGCACTTTAGTACAAGCTCTTTTAAATTTCCAGAATGTGCTAAAATCTGTCGACCATGAGCATAACAATACTTTAGGCAACCATGCTCATAAACATTCCTTCAGTCAAGCAACATTACCCTCATTCTTTTTCATTTATAAAAATTTGCCAAACTTGAGGTGATTACGCTAATATGTTAAGTACTAAAAAATAAAACACTTATGAATTTGCAAAATACTTCTCTAACTTTTAGCGTTATTCTTTTCTCCATGTACACAGTGATCTGTTTTCACTTAAAAAACCAATAAATTGCATAAACTTGTACTGCACATCAACTGTTTACCAAACACATCTCATCGCTGTTTGCGTTAACGGTTTTGTGACAAAATACTATATTCTGCAGAATTTTTACTGCAGTTTCTTCCATTGCTGGCAGATTCCACAAGTGATATTTTAAAAGTAAGTTAAAGGTTCCCAACTCCCCCCAAAAAAAATTACGATGTCTGTCAAAATCATTAGAATTCCAAATACAACAAAAATAAAAACAATTGAAACATTGCTTGACTGAAGGATTTTTATGAACAAGGTTGCCTGTGAAATTTTTATGTGCAGAGTATGGCAATTTTTATTAAGGTGGTTGAGATAATATGTGACTACCTCATTTTAAAATATTAATAGAGAAACATGAATTCTTATTGCATTTTAAGTAATTATTACTATCAAAATCTTACTCATATTGTTCAAGTTTTTACAAGTAAATGAAGTCCAACTCCGCTTCACATTGAAAAGTTTATAAAAATATGGGATGTACATGCACAGATACTGTTCTTTTAAAAACACTCAAATTATTTCTTTTTACTGTAGTAATTATTAGCTTTGCTTTCTTCTCAGTTTATATATATATATATATATATTTGTAAATTATATATATATATATATATATACCATTTTCAATGATAAACTTATATTCACAGCTAAATCAGACATAAGTTAGTCAATATTTGTTACTTTTAACATACTTAAACATAAGCATTAACTTCTTATATATTTTCTTTTCTTTTAAATATATGTATTGCATGTTTTTATTGATACCAAATACGCTACAACTTAGACAGCAGAATTACGAGGTTTTTTCGTATTCTTATTCAAGATATTTGACTATTCAACTTTGATATCTCTTGAAAAATCAAGCTTAGGAAATATATTCATTATCCTTATAAATATTTATTTCTGCATGTTTTCCCATAGCTTGTTAATTATGATTTGTTATATATGAATGAATGATAGCTGTAATAGTAAAAATTAAAGTGTTATTTTAATTTTCAGGATTTTAATGATACTAGTACACAAGAAAGAAGTGCAGAAGTTACCAGTCATTCTGAGGAGATGTTTGACATGAACGATTTTGAAGACACTGAAGAGACACAGAGAGAACTATGTCATACACAAACACTACCACAGCTAAAAGACACACACACATCAAACACTACAACTTCAAACAAAAAACAGAAACACGATCACATTTACACAGCAGCCACAACAACACTGGAAGAAATTTCTACAATATTAAAATCAAAAAACACTACTCCAAATACATTTACACAGTTCGGTTCCTTTGTTGGTTCCGAACTAAGTCTAATCCGTGACCCTCAACTCCTCACAGACACAAAATATAAAATATACCAAATTCTCACAGATGCACAGACAGAACAAAATGTATTAGATTCCATGAACAACACAGAATAAATAAGAAACTTAGATATATTTATTACTTACCACATTATTTTGTAACATAAATAAAAAAATACTTATAAATAATCTTTATTTCTTTATCTTTTATTATAACACATATTGAGAAATCAGGGAACATAAATTGAATAACATATATTGAGAAATTAATAATATTTTATAAATTTATCTTGCCATGCAACTTTTCCTTCATTATTTACATAATCACAAATTTTTTCTCGCATTAGCCTTGCTTCAGCAGACCCTGTGTTATAACCATTTTGTTTACACAGGGATTTCATCTTACTTAGCGATTCCTCATTTCGCCATGATCCAGGTATAAAATTAAAGTCCTCATCTTCATGATCGATTAGTTCTCTTGGTGTATACAATTGCCTGGACGGTCTTTCTCGTAGAAAGTTATGCAAACAGCAACATACAGAAACAATTTTATCAACTGTCGCAGGAGGCAGCTGTATTGGTTGCATCAAGATACGAAATCTATTTGATAATATCCCGAATGCATTTTCAACAACACGCCTTGCCCTGGACAGTCGATAATTGAAAATCCTTTGCTGAGGAGAGATATTTTTTACCAGGATATGGCCTCATCAGATAACATTTCAAAGGAAACGCCTCATCTGCAACCATAAAATAATTCACAGGCTCACTACCTGGAATCAAAGGTGTTGGGCTGGGCAGATCAAGCAAGTTATTGTCTAGCATCGAAAATAAACTTGTTTGGGCAAAAACTCCTCCGTCTGATATTCGTCCATTACATCCAACATCAATAAATGTAAATTTATAATCTGCATCAACTGATGCCATCAGCACAATGCTGTTGAAACTTTTATAATTGTAAAAAGTGCTGCCACCCCCTGCTGGTGCTTTTATCATAACGTGTTTTCCATCGATGGCACCAACACAGTGTGGCAGGTTCCACTTTTCAGCAAAAGCTTCTTCTATGGCTTTCCACTCCTGAGCAGTGTTTGGTGTCTACGAAATGAGAAAATAAGTATTAATTATGAAACTGAAAAAAGGATGCGAATACAAAATATAAATGCAGAAAATGCTATTTAAATATTGGCAAATAGTAAAATCAAATATTTTATCAACGAATATTAGCTACTCATTTGTTATAATAAAATTCACATCAAAGAAATAGATAAAAAAATGTGCTTATATATTTTGGTTGTGTTCCTATGTTTCACTTTTTATCTAATTTTTCCCCATTTTTTTCTCTCTTGTTTTTGATTAAGCTACACCATAGATTCTATTTAAAGTTTTTAAAGTAATGAATGTGTCAGATACAATAAATGGAATTAAAGCTAAGTGACTGTGGGTAAATGAATGTTTTTGATCACAATACCCATACAGACAGAAAAACTGATAATTTTTGGAAAATAAATGATTAAAAAATAAGCTGTTGTTGTACAAACAATAATACAATAAACAAAAAGGGCTTATGCTTGTTTGTACACAGAAACAGAATTTTCATTTAAACAAGATGTTTAAACATTTTATAACTGAATATATATGCTTCTTAATTTGAAGAAAACTCAAAACTAAAAGTGTCTATTGAAGAATTTTGGATGAACCCATAGGTGGTCAATTTAGCAGATTCATTATGTGTTTTATACAGGGTTGATACTAGGTTGTCAATTTGCTGTCCAATGCAATCTCTGCAGTTCCTACATTCTATTGCTAGATGCCTCCCTAATTATAAAACAATGTTTATTATGATTTTTCCAAAATCAAATAATCATATCTCTTCTTATAAATGAAAATTTTATTTAAATATACTGAAAAGCATAAACAACATTATGACAGACATTCCCATTGAAAATGGTTCATTCTAGAATTTGAGTCAAATTATAATCTAGAGCATGGACCAACAAACTGGTGCCTGCAAAAGAATTGTAAAATTTTAAGAAGCTGACGAGATATTTTAATGTTGAGTGGGAAAAACAATTTCATTTATAACTTAAAATTATTTTCTTAAACTGTTGGTCGCGACCCCCATAGGAGGTCGCCAAAACATTTTAGCAGTTTTTGATAATCCTTTAACTTATTCCAATAATTTTACAATTACCAAATATTTTTACACAATGTATCTGAAAATAGATAAAGATAAGGCAATGCATAAAGTTCTCTTTCTAACTGAACAAAAATCTGATTTTGCGAATTTAATTTCATAATAAGTTATGGCTACAAAAGCTGCGTTATTTGAGTGACATATTTGAAAAACTAAATGATCTAAATTTGTCGTTTCAAGAAAAAGGTTGCAACATAGTCATATTCAAATTAAAAATTGATGCTTTATTAAGAAAATGACCATATGGAAAACTATGATGGAAAAGGGTTTGTTAGAAATGTTTGTCGCAACAACTGAATTTTTAAATGAAAATGATGAAATAGATAAAAAGATGACTTTTTGAAAAAAATGATAAATGAACATCTTCGATGTCTTGAGAAAAACTTTAAGAAATATTTCCCTTCAAATTTTAGTGTCAAAGAACTAATATGGATTGTGAAACTATTTAGAATTAATGTGGAAAATATTACTCATTTGCCATTAAAATCACAAGAACTAACTTGCTGATTTATCAAATAATTCGGGATTGAAACTTTATCTTTAATACGAAGTCTTCAGAAGATTTTTGGCTAGCAATTGCAAAAGATTTCCAACAATTTCTGAAACTGCCATAAACTTTTACCTTTTTCTCTGCAACATATTAGTGAGAGACATTTTCATCTCTAACCACCATAAAATCAAAAGTGTCAATCAAAAAAGTTTAAAAAGCCCTGATTTATTACATGGTAAAAAGTGCATGCTTATGCAACTGAAGTATAATGGTTAGTGTAAAATATAACTTGGAGAGACATTTCATCAGTACGGTGTTTGCATAACATTTTCAAGAGAATGTTACATGACTAATGAAATTCCAATTGCTATACTAAATCTCTCTCTGCTAGTACTTACAAAGAAAAAACTCAAAGTTATCCGTTATCCAGATACCCAAATGCAATTATTATTTTATGACTTTAATTGTAAATAGGTTACTTAAATTTAAATATCGCAAAGCCTCGAGGACTATCTGTGTAAGAGGAGGGATACCTTCGTAGAGGCCTTTCTAAGGGAAACTAGCTCATATTTATGTTACACATAGGGTAACCACAAAAACCAACCATGCAGCCAACCTGTTCGCCTGGGACGGAACCCAAGCCAGGTCGAACTACCAGTATTCAGTTGTCTTAACCACTCAACCACTGGTGAGGCTCTTAATTCTAAATAGAAAATTATATATTGCACTCCTGTAATACTCTTTTTAAATGAATCACATTTCAAGGAAAACAAGCTCTGAAGTTAATTCAATATTACAAATTTGAGAAAAATTCAACTTAACATTAGTATCCTGATCCTGTAAAAATGAACATTTTTTTTAAAAATTAAAAGGTCATGATGTTGTTGTGAATTATAAGACCTCATATGTAACATTGATATATGAGGTTTTAACTCACCTTTATGTAATCTTGCATGCATTCCCATAAAGCATCCAATACTTCTGGTATCACTCTTGACAATGTTTGTTTAGGTATTCTAAACAAATACTGTAAATTTGAATAGTAACATAATAAAAAACTTAAAAAATAAATTTATTAAAAATGATGTAGTGATATAATTATGATATTTATTCATTATAAATTTCTCAAAATTTAAAAAATTGTGGTTAAAATTATTGTTTGAATTTGTATTTCAATTTTTGTGAATTTGATTTATTAATTTTATAAAATTAATTGATTTTTTTCAATAAAATAAAAATTAACTTACCACCAGCTAGAAAGCGTAAAGTAACATGCAGCCTCTCAGATGGTGAAATTGCACAACGCATAATCGTATCCTATTTTTTAATTTTGCTGCTCACTAAGTTTAATAAATAATCAAAATCGCACGGCATCATTCGCAAATACTTTCCAAATTCCACCCTGTCTTCAAAACGCAGCTCTTGGAACAGGGTATTATAGGCTCCATGAATTTCTCTGCGTTTCACCCAATTTCTCGTCCAAATACGCTTTCTTTTCCTTCTTCTGCAGCAGCAGCAGCGAAGATCAAAATCGCAGATGTTGCTACAGTAGCAATTAACGGGAAATCTTCATCCATTTTTATTATTGTCGCCTAAATTCACTCCCGCACAGTTTTGTTTTCACAGTTGTTGATAGTGTGACGCTACATAGGGCGGGAATTCTTCCTCGGACAGTGATTGGTTAAGGCATTTCCTGTACCGACGACAAAATCGTTGCGTGTGGACAAGCAAGCTCTCGCAGATAAAATCGTACGAGAAAGTCGGCCGATAAAATCGGTACGTGTAGACGGGCCTTAAGAGAAGCCACTTTTTATTTAAAGGCCGAAAATGGCCAAAAACTGTTGATAATATTGACCAAATTAAACCGTACCACAGCTGTAATGATTTTAAAGTTTTACAGAATTTATTACAGGATCCTGGAAGCGAGGAGAGAGGCCCGCCAGCTCAAAAGCACAGCTGGGTTTCCCTAACACAAAAAAGGAAACATAGCCAGCAATCTTCGACCAGAGGAATGCCCATCCAGTAATGCTGCTAAGAAGCGCACGAAAAAAGGAGGAAAGTTAGCACCGACAGATCAACGAGCCATCAGAACCGAGGATTCTGCAGAAAACTCTAAGTGCCATCGACCAGGAAGAGAGGAGGCCTGCTGACAAGGTTCCAGTCAAAGGAGAAAATTCAACGACGAATGGAAAACTACGAAACGTAAAAAGCTACAGTTTCCAGCAGCAACAACTACAAGGGAGGCCCAAGGAGTTCAAGGCTGGAGAACGAAAAGGCAGAAAAGACCTGCGGAGACAACCGTGCCTGACCAAGAAGTTAGAAGGGCCAAGAGAAGATTCAAAGAACCTGAAGGACGGATATCCTTACCGGAGCTAAAAAGGAAATTGGCATTCCAGAACTCGCAACCCTCGCGCAAGAGTCCCAGATTCCTAGACAAGGGTCAGAAAAGGAAAAGATCGGAAGCGAAACGGCAGCGGAACATCAAAGTTCGAGAAGAAGATTGGAGGTCATCAGGTTTCCGACGTTTGAAGCAATTCTTGCCACATCAGAATGCAGAATACAGAAAAAGATAAGTGAAAATTTCTTTGCTTATTTTCTTTGAAGCTCAAATTATATCATCTTTTTCTAAGTTGCTAAAGATGTTTAGAAAAGTTAAATCGCAGATAGCGAAAGATTGATTGTAAATGTTCGTAATCATAGATTTTTATGTTAGCAAATTTGGCGAGAAGCTACTAGCGTTAAAAACTTTTGTTAAGAACTCGCAAGTTGCGAGAAGTAAATTATGAATAAGTTTAGTCAGAAGACTCTTAGAATACTAAAATCTGTTAACATAAAGGTTAAGATTTCGTGTAAAGATGGTAAATTGTAATTAAGCAACTATGACTGTTGATGTAAAGTGAATTCAAAAGTGATATGTAAATATTTAAATGTTCCTGTTAAAGTAGAAATGTTTAATCTCTGTGTTGAAATATCGTAAAATTAAAATTGTACAGAAGATAAATTCTGGCCTCTATGTATTTGAATTGTGAAAGAATTGAATGTTAATATATATTTGTATTTAATGTTAGGCTCTCCAGTTAACACTTTTAAAAGTAAATATAAGCGCTCGCTTACTACATTAGGAAAGAGATTTCGTGTAGGGAGTCTTGTAAGGTCTTGAGAGTCTATTTTAACAAAAATTAGATGTTGTGTAGCGGTAGTTTTGTTCGCGGTAATACAACATAAAAGACTCGAAGTACATTTCAGTACATTTGCTGGAGAGCATAGGGGAAATAAAACTGTAGTATGAATGAAAGTGCATGAGAGCCAAATGAGGAAATAAAAGCGTAATTTCAGGATTTATAGATAAGCTTTGTAAAATTCCTTACTAATGATATGAAAGGATCAAGACCTGATTTAGTAGTAGCTGAATAAAGTGTCCATTCAAGAAAATGTATGTCCAGAACAGAGGAATTGTAGTAAATTTTATTTTTTCCTAGCTTTAGTCTAGCTTTTAGAATTGTTGTAAAGTTGGCCCCAAAATCAGAACTTCAAAGTGATTTAGTTAATACAAAAGTTTCAAGTGTGTAATTAACGTAAAACGTTTTTCAGACATTAAACCCTAAAACAATGTCGTTTTGAGACCTTATTGTTTGAGTATTTTAAGTCTGGTCGGAAGCTATGTAAAGATTATGTTAATTTTATTAACAGTTAAATTTTAAGTTTCTTTCCTGTCAATTCTTAACTTCAACTTACTACTTCCGGCCAGAACGTAGTTTTGGAATCATTCTGAATACTTAATGAGGAGGAGCGGTATTTAAACCGCGAAGTCTACTTGCAGAGTTAGAGAGAATCAGAGTTCCTGATTTATGCGCCGCGTCTGCCTTTTGGCTACTCTCTCTCTCAAAGCTGTTATTACGCTTCGGCCGTACTCAGGCCCTTAATAAGCATCGTAATTAAATAGAGTTAAGGGGCCAACTCGATTAGAATCTTGATAGCTGCGGCTTTATTTCTTTAGTTAAACTTAGTTTTAGTTTAATTTTTAGTCTCTTAAGTTCAAGCCCAAGTGTCGGCTTTGATTGTACACTCCAAGACGAGTTTTGTTAAATCTTATTGGAATAATAAAGGGTTAGTTACCCTTCCATCTTGTTTCTTGTTACACAAACTTATTCGCTAACTAGTTCTTAAGATTCGTCACTTTCTACAGTAACTGAGAAATACACTAGTGAGAATCTTACAAAAGTCAAAAAACAAGGAATACTTTCATATTTTTTTTAGGTCGAAAAAGTTTCACTTTAATTTTTTTAGGGAGAAAAATCTCCACTTTTATTTTGTCTGTGGGAAAACCTATGTTAAATTTAAAATCTTAGGGAAAAAAGTTACACTTTTATTTTAAAAAGTCGAAAAGAATTCATTTAGATCCTTAGGTCGAAAACGTTTCACTTTAATTTTTTAGGGAGCAAAATCTCCACTTTTATTTTGCCTATGGAAAAACCCATGTTAAATCAAAATGTAAGGGAGAAAAGTTACATTTTGATTTTAAAAAGTCGAAAAGATTCATTTAGATTTTTTTTAGGTCGAAAAATTTTCACTTTAATTTTTTTAGGAATAAAAATCTGCACTTTTATTTTGTTTATGGGAAAACCCATGTCAAATTCAAAATGCAAGGGTGAAAATTTACACTTTAATTTTAAAAAGTCGGAAAAAAGATTTTTAGGTCGAAAAAGTTTAACTTTATATGCATGTAAATTCCAGCTTCAATTTCATAGACAGAGAAATATATATTTAGCTTTGTGCTTAGAGAAATGGAGGTGTAACATCAATAAGTATTTAAAACAAGGGACACGTTAAGAGAAAAAAAAATTAAAAAATAAATAAATAAGAGAAGAAAAATTCTTCAAAGTATTAAAAAATACTTTTATATAAAAGAAAAATTAAAAAGTACGTTTTGAAGCAAAATATGGAAAAAAGACCGAGTTTGTAAAAAAAAAAAAAAAAAAAAAAAAAAAATCGTATGAAAATAAATATAACTTTTTAAAAATAAATAATGTAAAAAAAGGGGAAAGGAAAAAATTAAACTGTAGAAAAAAATGTAAAATAAAAAGAGAAAACAATTAAAATTGTGAAAAAGTATAACTTTTACAAAATATATTACTTTTGAAAGTTAAATGGACGGGGGATGTAAAACTCAAAATTGTGGAAAGTAAAAATCTGAAGTTTGTATATAAAAAATATCGAGTGAGAATTAGTACATTTAATTTAACGTCCAGAAGGAAAGGCAAATTGCGTAAATTATGTTTGTAACATAAAGAAAAGAGAAATTAAAACAAAAATCTTAACCTGACACAGAAACAAAATAAATTTAAAGTTATGAGTTCGTTCATCATCGGGGATGTACGAAGGATTGGGCAAGTTGGAACAGAATTGGCGTATGCACAATCCATCAGCCTCATGCTGGTTTCCGCTGTACAAAGTCAGATGCTCAAAGAGGATGGACACGGTCAAATAATAGGATTCAAGAGTTTAAAGCATGGGTTTGTGTTATCGTCCGCTTTTTCCATGCCGTAAATGTAGGGTTCAAGTTCCAGCCGTGGGGTTATTTTTAAAACTTGTGCAAATACATGATCTTTTTCATTAACTACTGCTATATTAAGTCAAATAGTATAAGCAATTAAAAATAATGATTAATAACTTGGACAGGATCCACGAGAATCAATTGAAAAGCGCTATGGGTGAGACTACTGCCCTCTAGCGACCGTTGCTGAACTAAAAAGAATGCACTAGAAACTTCTATCATGTTGCATGCACGTGGCGGATTTAGTATGACATCAGAGCAGCGGGGAGTACTACTCCTACTAAAAATGCCCCATAGAAACCAGTAAAACTTTTTATGGGTACCCATAAGATTTTATGGGTTTTTATTGACTTTTACTGGTTTCTGTTGGTCTCTGTGGGTTTTTTTTACTGGTTTCAAAATGACCCATAGAAACCAGTAAAACTTTCTACTGGTGCCTATAGAATTTTTGATGGTCTCTATTGACTTTTACTGGTTTCTATTGATCTCTGTGGGTTTTTCTTACTGGTATCAATTGACACCCATACAACCAACATTCAATGGCAGAACTTTGTACTGGTTTGTATAGGTTTATATTGACTTTTACTGGTTTTCTTACTGGTATCAATATAATAATAAATCTTCTGTTGGTTTATATGGGTTTATGCTATTTTTTTATCTGACGTTAATATACTTCTTGTAAACAATAAAATTAACAGAATGAAAATATGATCTCTTTAAGACCACCAGAGTAACCTGGAAACGCAGGTGGTCGTTTTAGAGAGGGTTTTTACTAAATATGCTTATTTATTTTGATTTAAATTTTTTTTCGGAAACAATAACAGTAATCATATACACCACACACAACGAGGTCTCTCCAAGGCGACCAGCCGCAAATAAAAATTCATCTTTGCAAGTGGTCGCCTTAGAGAGGTGATGCTCAATACCATAAGATACTCACGTTCTCAGAGATACGTTTATCTTTTAGATGTGGTCGTCTTAGGGAGATTGCATCTACGGAATAAATCTCTCTAAGGCGACCAG